ATCGCGTGATCATAAGTAACGAAATCTGTAACGGATGAACCATCTTGGTACAAAATAAAAAGTTTAAGGAGGTTTGAATTGAAAATTTTAGTTGGTGGACCAAAATGATAATGGGGCAATAGTTTGGGGACCATTTAGGTCATTAACCCAATATTAAAAATACGAATACATTTGTTGATTCGAGAGAATACTTGCCATCCTAAATGAACAGATGCACGGTAAAGTATAATTGCAATAAGATTAGCAACTAATGTGTGCGAAAGCGATATTGAAATCAACATGCAGAGCTAAGTTTTTCGTTCTCTTATTTTTATGTTCATTACTTGGATGACATGTTTGCTAATCCGTAATTGAATTAGGAGGAATTGAATTGAATTGAGGAGGAGTTGGATTTAGGATAATTAGATTCCAGATTCCTATTGAAGTTGTTTACTAAACCATATGGATTGAGGAGAGTTAGATTACGGATTCATATTGAAGTTGTTTACTAAACCATATGGAATTGGGATAGGAGTGGTACTAATTACTAAAGGGTTATTGACCGAAATGGTCCCCCAACTATTGCTCCAATATCATTTTGGTCAATCAACTAAAATTTTCATTTCAATAGTCCTTCAACTTTTCATTTGGTATCAAGATGGTCCTACCGTGACATATTTCGTCACTTCTGATCACGCGATGGCCACGGGATTGAGTTTTGAAGGGTATATGCAACTTTTTGAGAGGCTCTATCCTTTAGAAGCAAAATATCTAAAGTTTGGTCGATGTTTCTATCATTTTAGGAGATTAACATGGACTTAAGGGGATTCTTATACGAGTCGTTGAATTGGTTGATGCTCTAGTAGTGTGCGAGTTGCTGAATTGGTTGATGCTCTAGTAGTGTGCGAGTCACTGAATTGGTCAAGTTAATGTGTAATTTCAGTGTTAATTTTGGAGTTCGGATTTGGGAGTTTGGGTTTGGGTTTGATTTTGGGGATTTTGGAAAATTCACTGCTTGCTGATAATGAAGTTCGAATTTCGTTCAGGTGGTGAGGCTCCTAAATATGGTAAGGGCTTCTATAATGCATTTTATATTGTTTTTGTTTGCAAATAGATGAGTTGTCCTTGTCTGGAAGTGCAGTTTCTTTATGTGTAAAATATTCATTTTCCTTTGTTTGTGTCCGGCTTTTTGGTTGTTTTATGTTTAAAGTAAGGGTAAAGAAATCGTTTTCCTGTATGTGGGTTTGGCTTTATGCTACATTGACTGTAGAATATGGGGGGTTTTTTAAATGTCTGTGGTCCCTTGGTTGTCTACTTCACACCAAACTCAGTAATTGTTGTCCTTAGCATTAACAACAAAACCGTGACTTTAAATTAACATATTGTTGTTTCAATTGTGTAGCTACCAATGGAATGTGCACTCTAGAATTACATCATAGGAGCTGGTTTGAAAATGGGGTTTATAAAAAGACTTTAAATTAACATATTGTTGTTTCAATTGTGTAGCTACCAATGGAATGTGCACTCTAGAATTACATCATAGGAGCTGGTTGAAAATGGGGTTTATAAAAAAAGTAAGGTATGTTATTTGGACAATAATGTAGATGATTTTCCGTCCTTAATAGATTTAATGAAAATAAGGAGAGGTCTTCGATATGATGTTGACATTTCTCAAGTTCAGCAAAGTTTGGAAATTAGGTATTGAAATGTTGAGGGTAGACTGTAGCTTCTTACATTTGATGCTAAAGTGGTT